AATTTGGTAGCCAGGTTATGCTGGCCTTACAAAATAAGTCGGGAAGTAGTCTTAGTTTTTCACTGTCAGAAAGGCTTTGTGTAAGATTGTTCTTACTTACTTAAAGGTTTGGAAGAATTTTCTGGTGAAGTATCTGGGCCTGGAGTTTTCACTGTTTTAATTATGGATTCAATTTATTTAATAGATACAGGACATTTAAGATTTTCTATTTATTTTTTGGTCATTTTTGGTAAATTGTATTTTTCGAGGAATTTGTCCATTTCATCTAAACTCAAATCCTTTTATTACCTGTTATCTGATGTCTGTAGAAACTGTAGTGAAGTCCTATTTTTTTTATATATGATATTAGCGAGTTATAGTTTTTTTATTGATCCTTCTTGGGGCTCAATTTTAAAATTCATTTTCAAAGAGACATCTTTTGCCTTTGTTAATTTTTTCTACTGTATGTTTGCTTCCTGTTTTATTGATTTCTGCTCTTATTTCTTTGGGTGTGATTTGCTGGGTCTTTCAGCCTAATTTCTCGAGATAGAAGCTTACATCCTTGATATTTAACCTTTCCTTCCTCCCTTCTTCCCTTCCTTACCCTCCTCCCCACTCTCTCTTCCTCCCTTCTTCCCTTCCTTACCCCCCTCCCCACTCTCTCTTTCTTTCCTTCTTTCTTTCTAATATGTGCCTGAAAGTTATAAATTCCCCTCTCAGTACTGCTTTAACTGAATACCACAGCACTGACATGTTGTCTTTATCATTTAGTTAAAAATATTTTCTAGTTCCCATTTGTAATTTCTTCTTTGATTGAAGGATTATTTAGAAATATATTGCTCAACTGAAAAACGTTTGGGGATATTTTCATTGCTTTTCTGCTGTTGATGTCCTGGGTATTTCACTGTGGTCCAAGAATTTACTCTGTGTGTTTGTATCCTTTCAAATTTGTAGAGACTTTCTTCCTGGCCCAGTACAAGATCTGTTTCAGCAAATGTTCTAAGTGCATTTGTAAAGAATGTGTACTATAAAATTATTGGGTATGCTGTTATATATGTATTAATTATACCAAATTTTTAATCATATTGTTAAAATCTCATATATCCTTACCAATTTTTAAAATCTGCCTATTCTATCAGTTCCTGAAAGAAATGTTAAAATTTTCAGTTATCATTATGAATTTGACTTTTTGGTTTATACATTTTGAGACCATGTTATTACATGCATAGAAATTTATTACCTCTGTTAAATAGACACTTAATCAACATAAAATATTCCTTTTTATTTCTAGTCATACTTCTTCCTTAGGGTCATCTCAGTCTCATATTGTTATAGCTATAGCCATTTTCTTTTGGGTAAAGTTGGCATGGTTATCTTTCTATCCTTTTATTTTTTACCCATCTGTGTCTATATTTAAGGCATGTCTTTTGTCAAAGCCAGGTTTGAATGTTATTCTGCCCCTTATTAGCAAAAGCTCAATTTCCTGATACTGACTATTGCATTTAATAGCTAAACAAGGTATCTTTTTAGAGACATATTTTTAATTTTTATTCCAATTAAATACTATTCCAGTATAATCCTTATTATATATTATATGGTATATAATTTATATTACATATGTGTTAAATAATATATATGCATATCATTTTATATTAAGCTATATAATATATAATAACATATATGGTAGGCCATTTTATATTAAGAGGAAAGTATCTTTCTACTTTTAATTGAGTTTCTGGTCCCTCATTATAAAGCTAAAATATGTAATTGTATTAAACTGTATACTTCCTTCTTTGCAACACTTCTTCAAAAAGGAAAATTAAGAAAGTCCCACTATTTGACTTTCAAGAGTAAGTGATATTATAGAAATTTTCTCTGTATGAAGACAAAAAAAAGAAAAAAGAACAATCCGATTATAAGCTATGCATAAATAGAAAAGTGATTCACTAAAGAGTAGCATTCACTTCAGTCTGATAATCTATTACACTCTATCCATCTATCCGTCTAGTCATTAATTCATTTAACATATATTGAAGTTTTATCATGTACTAGGGACTGTGCTATGAGCATGGGGGCACAAAAATGTGTATAACAAAAATCTCTCCTTTGGGAAGAGAAGTAGGGAAGTCTAATAAGGAAGAAAGATGAATATTAGGAAAATATATTCTATGATATATACAATGACAGTACATACAGGGTACTACAAAAGTTTATAGGAGAAAATATAAACTTCCATTTGGAATACTCTCCTGCTTATTTGCCTATCTTACAGATGACTTAGATTTCCTCGATGAAGGTGCATTTGAACTGGGTCTATAAAATTGCTTGACATTATAAGATGAACCAAATAAGCTTTGTATAGGGAAAAGAAGGCAGCATAAGTTTTTAAGCAGGAAGGGACTAAATATAGGGATTTATGTGCTTATGATATTATTGGAATAGTTAGAAGAAAGGGCTTTAGCTCCAGTAATGACTCATAAAAAGCCACCTATTTTGGGAGTTACTATCTTCTCACATTCAGGAGGTGGGAATCAAGAGGTCCACTGGACCTACTGATTTCAAAAACATGGTGCTGTAATTGAGACTCAGGAATTAGGAAGCTGGAATCAGAAGGCACTGCTGCCAATGACACACAGGAAGCTGGACACTGTGTACTGGAATGCAGAAATGTCCATATCTGCACAGCTTTCCTTGCTCACAGGAAACAAACATGGCTGGAATATGGCTGCTTCCTCATTTCCATCTTAGGATCTTTGAGTGCTTGTATTTGACTGATGTAAGACTATTTCACACCCAGAAGCCTAGCTGTAATGGAGTCCAAAAAAGTGTTAATTTCTTTTTTTAGCTGTCTAGGCTTTGTTATACAAAGGAAGTTACACTAGGAGAAGATGGGAATGGATGCAGAATGCAGATCAATCACCGAAACACTAAGTGAAGATGAGGTGGGAGTAGGAGGGTTAAATGGAGATAATAGTATGTGAAAAAAAGGTAAAATAACATAGAGATTTGGAGGAATTTCTCAGATGGCTGCATACAAGAAACAATAGATATCTGGAGGGAAGTCCAGATGATGAGAATAGGCTAGGAGAAGATAGTAGGAAGGAAGAATATTAAACTTAGGCCAACCAAGAGGTTATTGCATTAATCAGTGCGACTAATGCTGGAGACCTGAACTGAAGGCTCTAGAGAGGGAAATGGAGAGGAGGCAATCTGGGGAGCTAGTTAAAATATCAGGATAATATTGATCAGATGCTTTTCTTTTGTAACGGTTGTTTTCTCTCTGGAATGCCTGCTTTGTTCTAGTTTTTTGTTTGTTTTAATATAAGGCTGATAGAATATATTATTCCAACCCACGGTGATTCTCCACTTACTGAGCATCTGCAGCACTTGTGATTAATGCTGTCTTTGTCCTCATGTAGCTTCACATGTTGGTTGCCATGCCAGTTAGAAAGGAAACGCTGAAAAATCAGACATCATGTTTTATACTTACTTGATGTAGTAGGAGATAGCATTTGAAGATTCTGAGTAAGGCACATAGAGTTAACAGATACATTTCCTGGAGAGGTTCCAAATCAGAATGTAAAGTTTCAAAGTTTCAAAGGATATGTCATAAAGCCAGTTACATAACTTACAACTCTTACCTACACTGAGGGTCTAAAAGAATAGGATTGAGGAAGGAGTTTAAAGAGTATTTCTCTGGAGAGGTCTGGGCTCAAATTCTAATTCTCCCCAAGGGGACAGGATGAGGTACCTTCACCGTATCCTAAGCCCAGGGCAAGGGACTTATTGGGAGCACTCATTGAACTTGAAATGAAATTAAGATACAGAGAAGACCAGTGCTTTCCTCCTGTTTTAGAAATCTAAAAGGCATCATACAGGCTGGATTGCTTTAAATGGATAACTGGGGGAGTGTGCATTACTCATATCAAAGGAATCTCAGATGAGAAGTCCTCACAGAAGGGGCTCTTTCTAAGAATCCACAAAATAGCTCAAAAGAGTCAGTATTATTCACCAGAGAGTACAGGACCATTTTAGTTAGTACTGATTAGGTGACAGTTTTCCTGCCCACCCCAATCTCTCCTCCTCTCAACACCGTTTGGCATTGGAAGAAAGGATCATAACCAGATTAGTGAAATAGAGTAGGGGAGGTACAAGAAAGAAGGACGTCTCCTCCCTTACCCCAAACACTTTCCTGACCTCCTACCCAAAGAGTCACAGGAGGAGGGGAGGGAGGAGTTTTAATTCCAAAGCTGGTTTGCATTTTTGATTATTGCATATAATTGAATACTCTTCATTGTGAATTTGAGACCATGTGCAACTTGAAAGGACAGTTGGATTTTTTTATTGTCTGAATGAGCAGAAGAATCATAAGACTTTTGAGTTTTAACCAAGTCAGAGGAAAAAATGTTCCCTATTGATTAATCTGCAAAGGCTAATGTTTGAGACAATATAAAGTTGCTTGGTGATCATATGCCATGAATCCTGTTTGGTAAACTACAGGCTTAGCTTTGTCATTCCCAAGGGTGTAATCCTGGGCAGTAAGTAGAAAAGGCAACATGGTTTGATTTAAAGAGCCTTCTGCTACTTCTTAGCTATGTGACCTTGTGAAACATACCAAATTCTTACAATCATGGTTTTCTCACCTTCAAAATAAAGTGAATATATAATATCTGCCTTTTTAACTTCACAGGATTGTTAGAAAGATCAAGTAGATTGTACACTTAGAAAATGTTTCTAAATTCCAGTAGGTACTCAAAATCAACTAAGTACTTGATTAATGCACCTTGAAAACTGATAAAAGTCTTTCCCTCTTGCCTGTAAACTGAGCCATCCTAAACCAAATAACAACAATTAAAGAAGAAAACTCCAGAGAAGGGTATTCCCTAGGACCCCCAGTGGCCCCTTCCTATTCCTAGTAATACCAGGATAATCTGTTCTGCCTGAGTGTTGACAATGTTTTATCACCGCTTAGAAAAGCCACTGACAACTTAGCACTAATCAAAGTTTCCTTCCCTCTTCAGTTTTTTAGCACCATCTCTAACACAAGTGTTGAGTTACTGGCCCATTACCTGGAAACAAAAGTGAACCCAAGAGACTCAGTGAATTATTAAGAACATCATTTACAGAGGGAGGTAATGTCAATGGAGAAGGTTGATTGAAAAGCATCTTTGTCTCACTGGGAAAGTGGAAGAGAGTGTGAAGAAGAGACTGGGGGACTTGACTTGTCAACAAGGAGAACAGTGAGAACACCCCGCAGACAATGCCGTATCTGTCTGTGGCCTGGCATAGGATGTCCCTAAGAAAGCCACCGGGAAACTGGCTGCTGCTAATTGAAAATGGTTCTAGCAGTGCTTGAATGTGGCAATGTTCTGTTGTATTGTGTAGAATAACAAAAATAGAGGCATTTGGGAAGGAAAATAGACCATGACATCTAAGAGATGTGCTTCTACCAGACACCATTTCTCTCCTCCCTTTCCCCAGAGTGTTTCAAGTTTAGGTTTTCAGCTTCTTGAATAAGTGACAATGGTTTTTTACCATCTCCACCGTCACACCATAAATGCTCTTTTCTCCTGTGAGGGGTGCCATTTAAAATAATATAAACTGCCTCTCAGCTTCTTAGAGCTTATGCTCTAAAATGAACTTTGCATTCATAGATGAGTGAGAGGATTGGTACACTATGTAACAGAGTGGATCAAGGAATGGAATGATGGATAGAGACTGTTAATTATCCTGATGTTAAAAGACATATATATATATATATAATGGAATGGGGTGGGGGCCGTAAAGGACAGCCCAAGGGAGCTATTTTATTTGGCGGAGAGATGAGATGTTATCTAAAGTCAAAAGAAAAATACTCGTTAAGTATAACATTTAAAGTTGTAACAAGTGAAGAAAAGGAGTAAAGATAACTCTCCAAACCAGGAAGGGAAGTGGAGGAAGTAGAATTGAGTTAAAGTGCTTTAACTTTTATGGTAGACAGTCAAAAGATACTGTCTAAAGTTGAAAAGTCAAGAAACAGTAGTGTAACAAAGTTTTTGTAGTTATGGAAGTGACTATCTTTGGTTATAAACACAGGAGTAGTGGCTTCCTTAGGGGATAGAAGCTGGGGTTCAGGGGGCACCATGGAGCAAAATGCCTGGAGCAGGTGGGCTCTGCTCCTTTCCTTCTCCCATTGAACTGGAACAAATCAGTTTCTTATCTGTTTTCCATCTTGGATTACAGTTAAATATTTTGCTGGGGGAAAAAGAAGGATTCTTTTACAATGTTTGAAAAACATCATCCTAGGACAAGATGTATCTGTTAAAAAATCTGGATTAAAAGCCTAAATTCTGGCAGGGCCAAAGAAATTACAGAAAAAGGTAAGGGGCTTTTGTAGCACAGATCTTCATATATTTGTAATGGGGTTACATCCCAATAAACCCATGGTAAGTTGAAAATATCATAAGTGGAAAATGCATTTAATACACCTAACCAACCAACATCATAGCTCAGCCTAGCTGAACTTGAATGTGCTCAGAACACACATTAGCCTGCAGTTGGACAAAACCATTTAACACAAAGCCCATTTTATAAAAAATTGTTGAACATCTCATGTCATTTATTGAATACCGAAAGTGTGAAAGAGAATGGTCATCTGGGTGTAGAATGGCTTGTTTACCCTTGTGATCTCATGGCTGACTGGGAGCTGTGTCTCTCTCTGCTGCTGCCAGAACTGTAAGAGTGTTGCACTGCAATATTAATGCCCAGGAGAAGATCAAAATTCAAAGTACAGTTTCTACTGAATGAGTATTGCTTTCACACCATCATAAGGTTGAAAAGCCATAAGTCAAACCATCACTAAGTGGGGGACTGTTTGTATAATACATACCCATATGATCTTACCTTTGAAAATGGATCCTCTTCTGCCTGGGAGTTGCCCCAGCAACCATGATTTCATACCTGATCGGGCCATAGCTTATTGAACCAAGAAGGAAAAGCTCACTGAAGTTTTGCTGTTGTGAATTCTGGTTCTTAGGTCCTAGCTCCTGAGATTTGAACTAAGTTGACATAAACTTGGAAGTTGTGGTATGATTCTTTTTACCATTTTTCAGGGAGACAATAAAGATGTAGAAGGAAATAAAATGGAGGTGAGGAGATATTAGAGATTCCTAGAGAGAAAAGATTGACCCCATTTGCATTTCATAGTTCCCCATCCCTGATGAAACACTTGGACTCCATTATTTGGAATTATATTTTTCAGGTATATATGGATTTCTTTCCCTTCATCCAAAAGGAGAGGAAAGAGAAGGTAAGAAAAGAAAAAGAAAAAAGTTTTGGCTAAGATATAGAAGAGAATGCACAGAACTTCGGGGGAGAGAACCTAGAATGATCTGAAGGTGATAGGAGCAGTTAATAAGATTAGTCAAAGAGAAAATCATTAGAATTTAGACAGGCTCAGATGGCAGGTGACTCAGTGCCTGGAGGTCAGAGAACTTATGGAGATGAGGGTCTGGTGACTGGGAAGACCTAAAACTGAGGAGCCTATCAAGGGCATGGACAGAAAAAGATTTTGCTTTCCTAGGGACGAAGAGAACTAAGGGCAGTACCTTCCCATTAGACTGGGGTTAGAAGTAGAGAGAATAAACAAGTAAGGATAGTTATAATTACAGGTATAGCCAGATGACTAGAAGTGGTAATAGGAAGCCAGGGGTGACTGGCATAGACTGAGTGACAGTGAATTTATCAAATTAATTGTATTAAAAACTGCTTTTAAGTAATTTATCTAATTCGTACAGAGCTGTCATTGTGATATTACTATAAAGCATGGTGATAAAATAGTTTAGTAAGCCAGATGCTGGGGCCTCCCAGTTTCATGCATTAGACTCAGTCCAACCATCCACAGCTCCCAAACCCATCAAAGTTCTTGGCAGAAGGAGGCTCTACTGGTTAATAGGCTCTACTCAGGAGGTACTTCAGGGATATGCAGCAAACATCTGCTCTCCTGAGGATTATCTGTGCTACAGCCCAGTGAGTTGTAGGGTAGGGGATCTGCATTATAAAAAGGAATACTGAAGGCATAAGATACTCATCCAAGTATTTCTGTGTGTTGGAAAAGGTGCTGCTATATAACACCATGCACCTCTGGGAAATTTTCTTTTTGGCTTTCCAGAACTATCTCTTCTCTAGTGATGGAGAATACCCAAAAAAAAGTTGGTTTACTATTTCTAAGAGGATCTGACCCCTAGCTCAAATTGAGAAAATTATTTACAATGCAACTTTGTTGATCAGGTACCAAATATTTACCTGAACAAATTCAGGACCACTGTTCATCTAAAGATAGACATATATATAGTAAAACAACACCTTTATTATTATTTTAGCTAAAAACCTAATGCTGCTTTTCTAATTTATGAATTTATCAAATTCTGTAAATATCCTACACTAATATCAATTGCATAAGCACTATTAAAGAAATATTTTATTCGACCTTGGAAAAGGTTTCCATCTTCTGATTAAGAGGAAAGAAACTCCTTGTATTTCTTATTTGGCTATTACAAGCATATTTGCACATACCTATTTACTTAAAAGCATTTGCCTTCTGTCTTAAAGGTACATTTTCTTTTAAAATCAGCAAAGTTCCCCCACACTCTTACTATTTCAGCCACTATGTGATGTTGTTTAGCAAAACCTTCAGAATGTTGGGGAAATCTCTGAATGAATGGACAAGCCATCTGTGAAATGGCACGTGCGTGTTATGTCACATTTCTTACTCTGCGTTCTTACCCGGTGCCCTGGTTCTTCTCAGGATATATGCATTATTATCCTTAATAAGAAGAATAGATTAGGATTTTCTGTTATATATCAATGATCCATTGTTAGTGGTTTTCATGCATAGTAACCAGGCTCCAAAATGGAGTTTATCTTTGCAATTCTATGTAGTTAACAGAGGCCAAAGTATTTTACTAGGGTTTTTTCCCTCATGTGATCCACAGCCAACCTGTCTGAGAATCACCTCAGTCTACATCTACTGAATTACAATCTCACCATCCCAGCTACCTACTTGTTTTTCTACTGTTTGAGTTAGCAGCCCTCAAACTTGGCTACATATTGGAATCACCCAGGAGCTTTAAAGCATAAAGATGCCTAGTTCTAGCTCTCAGAATTCTGAATCAATTGGTCAGTGGTGTGGCCTGAGCATCTGTGTATTTGAAAGCTCCCTAAATGATCCTAATACATAGGCAAGGTATAACCACTGCCCTAGGTTCCTGAGACTGCAGGAGGGCAGTCTGGTTGTTCCAATGTCTCTTTCCCTTCATTGTCCTTGGCCATGGGAATCCATGAAAGAACTAGTTCAGGGATATTTTGATATGCAGATACTTTGGGAAGCACTTTATTTCTCATTCTTAGTAGCAGGAGATTGTCTCTGTCTTCCAGAAAGGTTTCTTCAGGATTGATGATCTTTGCCCTCATGGGTTGCTCAATCTCACTTTCCCCTGAAGTCTTACAAGTGATATTAGGAGTAGGCAGGCAGTCTAAGATGATGGGCTATCCATAGGCACACTCCAGGGTTCATAGCCTCCGGAGTACAACCATAACTTAAATGATATACTAAGCACAAAACATAAAGAAATAAGTAGGTACACACTTTGATATTATTGACAAATATTCTTAACTCTGAACTCTCAATCCTCTTCCTCTGCCTCCCTCAAGAGTTCAAGAGACAAATCCGGGAGTTCCTCTTCCAGCTTCATCCCATACTTTCCTGCCTTGTCTTAGCTTAAGCTTCTCTATCTTTGAAATGCTTTTCTTATTCCTGCTCCACCTGCTGAACTCATTTCATTGTGTAATTTTCCCAAGCAGCCCTTCCTTTAAAAATAATTGTTTTTACATGCTCATCTTGAATCTACTTTAATGGAAGCTCTTATCAAATTGCATTTTAGCTAGTTGTTTTCACAGTTAAGCTAATTGTGGTCTTTGCTGAATTAACCCAACATTTAATGACTGACCATGACTGCTAGGCCTTGGGTTAAGCAACACAAAAATGAATCATATTCTCTGCCCCTCAGTGCTCTTTAGGAGCTCACACTGTAGTGAGGAATATAAACAATCATTATAATATCCATGGATAGATGCTATAAAATACAGACATACAACATTAAGGGAAATTTTGAGGGCTTAGGACTGTTGTTTAAGATGGGAATACTTAATTTCTGGATGTCAGGATCATGCCTGACTGTTAAGGAAAGCTGGATTACCCGAGTAAACAGTTAACTTTTGTCAAAGTGCTCTTTCCAAAAAGTCTTAGTATATCAATATAGCTGGAGACAATATTGCGGATAAGATCAACTATTGGTCATGTATAGAATTGTTACTGTTATGATGTTAAAAGCTATGTAGGATTTTTTAAATTTTGTGCTACTTCTAAAAGGTTGGACACATTCTTATGATTTCAAGGTATAAATCCCCAGATGCAGGGAGAAGAAAATATTGGGATTTGAATTCATTAGATTCGGGTTTGAACCTAGACTCTATTATTTATTAATTAAATAGCCAAGTT